TGTTAGTTTTAACATCTCTCTCCCCCTTCATCTCCGGCTCCATCTCCGGCCACCGGCACTCCATCTCCGGATCTATTGAAGGTAAATTGTTCTTATTTTGCACTTTTTAATTTCATTCACTATTTTGTAACCTTATTCACTGTTTCTTAATTTTTTGTTTTTAACATTTCACTACTCAGTTATTTCTTTAGTCCAAATGTATGATTATTATAGTTAAGTTTGCTCAACTTTAGCTTTAGCTCACTGTTAGTTTTAACATTATTTTTTTAGGACGCTGTTAAGGTTGCTATTTAGTTCATTTTGCAATTTTCTATGAATCTGATTCATGTTTTCATCAATTATTATAATTATTTAATTTAAAAAATTGTCAAACGCCTCGGTGTTTTGGTGCTAGGCCCTAGCTCAAACGGCTTGTCCGCCTACTGCTTTCTGTTACATTGGCAGATACAGATATATGTTTGTATTACTGAAAAAAATTTGTATTCGTATGTGTAGAGATGACTAGTTATATGACTAGTTAACAAATAATATATGATAATTTGACATATCAGATCCGTTTGCTCACCAAGCAATCTATATTTAAAAAGAGGATGAGGATTTTGAGGGAGGGGGTGGGGGGAATCTGATATTGTCAGATTTCCTAATTCACATTCGTTCAAACAAACAGCCTATTTGGAGACACTTATATTGTTTGGAGACACTGACATGGGAAACGGGGCACTTTGCGAGGGAATGCCCTTCGGCAAAGTGATGGTGAATGGATCTTGATCCTCAAAAATCTCCCTTTTTTTAAATGTTTTGGTAATGCTAGTATATTAGATCAGTTTGGAGTTTAGAGATGGGTTTTGATACCTCGTCTCCTATGTTGGAAAAAAGGATTATTGTTTGTTTGTGTTTTGGTCTGTGATGGGTTATGGTTTTATTTTGTTGGGGTTTGTGGTGTGGAGGGGGTAAAGGGGTGAAGAAAGGGATTATATAGCCTTCTTGTTGCTCTGTCCTCTTTTTAGTATACATATGGGTTTCTTAGCTTTTGATCTATGAAAGCTTAATTTAATTGGTCAAATGGGTATCCATATTATGTATCCGATTGTTTACATGTTGCTATTTAATTAGATATAGTTTATGATTTGTCATCTTCTTATCTTAACGATTGAGATCTATGATTTGTGGAATGGGATTATGTAAAAATCTTTGGGATTAATGTTAGACTTAGGCCACTGACTAGCTTGGTCTTCTCTTGCAGTTGTATCAAGTTTTTTGAGTGGTTAGTTGATGGAGGTTGCAGTTCTTTTTGTGGGGGAGATCTATCCAAAAGTGATGCACATGAAGGATGACGCTAAGGAGCAGAAGCAGGTCGAAAGATGAGTATGTGGATTACTTAGTTTTGTTATTGTTGTTTGATGCGTACTGATAACCATTGAAATCGAAACTCAGGACGGAAACAAAACGACTATGGTAACTTTTAAGACTTTAGACGCTAATGTTTCCCCCATCCCCCATATGCTGGCCAACTCCGATAATGGTTTAAATCTTGTTGAAAGCTACAATGTCGCAACTTTGAATGTATTCATTTGCAGGTTCAACTGTAAGACGCTCCTCAATAAGGCTGTCGACAGACACAAGATCATCAATGATGGCAGGTTTTCTGAATACTTTCTTGTTGTGTGATCGTCTACTGTTGAGTTCTTCTGAGAAGTTTAAAGAGATTCGGCTGATCTTGTCACAACAGCAGCCTTCTCTAGTTTTGAATTGTTTCTCACTTCTCTTGAAATGAGACGAGGCTTACTGGAGTTTACTATTTTCTGACTTAAAAGCAACTTCACCATTGGGGGAGAAAAAAAAAAATTATTACGACGCAAGAAACGCCAGGTGACTTCAACTCTGCTTTCATGCATCCAAACTCACTACATTAAGCAGTCAATAGAGTAGAAGAATATACAAACATCGATTCGATTGACATCTTCAAACAGGTTATCGGTACCCCATGAAACAATTCAGTCTCCTGCTCTGTTATCCAAAGCCATTTTATGAGAAGATCCCCCTTAAACAGACTGGAGTTGATGAAAAAGAAGAACAAGAAGCTGGAGCAGCAGTAGACGAAGAGGAGGAAGCTAGCGTCACAATCAATCTTCGACGATTCACTTCCCACATCCCTGAATATCTTGACTTAACAGTTCTCATTGTCCACCATCATTGCACTGGAAGTTAGAACATGAATACATTTCTTTCCATCGGTATGTCAGGCGTATAGGATCACCAATTCAAAGAGAAAGTACTCATCAGATCCTTGGATAAGTGTGCAAAACAGGAGAACTTGGGGATAAGTATATTAATCTAAGCGTTGTGACGTTGGCAATGATGAGGTCGATGTTGAGGCCGTAGCAAAACTTTGCGGCGAGTTCGAAGGATTCGGGTCCTCCTGACATATTCTGGATTGTGATTCTGGTAGGTTTTAAGTCTCTGCTTGAGTCTGATATCAGTTTTCAGATCTTTCCACTCCTTGAGACTAGGGGGAACTGCACGTGGAAATGAGTATAGGTCAGAACCAAAATATCTGCAATTACTGGGCCAATTGGAAAGGAGTCTAGTGATTTGTGGCCTACGATTGCTAGTGCAACCAATGTCATTGTGTAATATCTAGATTTTTCTTCAGGTGTCAGTGAGGAGTAGTAGTTTTATTTTATTTGTTATTGAAAAGAAAAGAGAGTTTTCTAAATATGGATCCATCATCCATATTTGTTTTGAAAGTTTTTGTTTTCCTGTGACGTACATATATTAGAATTGATATTCTATGATCCAGCTGATGGTAACATCGTTTTCCTTTTGTTATGAAATTAAATGGTGATGGTTTGAAGATAATAATGTTTTTGGATATCATTGCTAAAAATTTGTTAACAAATAAGCTACTGGAAAATCTGAAGATATTTTGTCAAACTTCGGGGCTTTGTGAAATTTATCCTAACTTTTACCTTAACATAAACCTTAAAACACCAATTCTGAAATCCAAGTTCATGTATAATAAAGTGTATCCAAACACTATATTTCAAATCTTTGATTTCAAATCCTTCCATTTTGAAAAGACATCCAAACAAAAGATTCTATCAAATCATGGATTTCAAATCCTTCGATTTTAAATCAACTTTCCAAATCCAAATCAAAGTTCCCAAACGCAGCGGTGTTTTGGAAAAACCGTGTATTTTCTCTATTTTGTGAAAGGGCAGCTCAAAAAATGGGAGAAACACAATGGTTGCCAAACGGACTCGTATACAATTCACCAATAGTTAGAGCATTACTTTGCGAATTATAACTTTTCTATTTATAATGCAGATCACCATATTCCTGCAGGGGTGATTCTAAAGGGCTGTTTGGTTCGTTTTCTAGATACAGTGAAATGCATTTCCATGTACAAAAACACAAGTTTTGAGTTTTTCAAACTTTTTCAAGAAATAGATTGTTTCGCTTTGGTTTGCACAAAAAAAAATGGTGGGAAACCAATGTATTTATTTTTCTTGTGTTTGGTTCGTATGGAAAAAAGGAAAAACTTTTGTTTATATGGCAAAAAACTGACGTGACTGTAGTTTTCGTCGATTTCACGAGGTTGAGGAAGGAATTGGGGGAGAGAAAAATCTGATGTGACGGTGATTTTCACCGAGTTTCCCTTCTTCAACTCTAGCGAACCAAAGATGGGAAAAAAACCGACGAAAAGCTTATATCCTACGTGGCAACGAAAAATCTGATGTGGAGACGGTGTAAAACTTTTTCACCGAGTTAAAAAACGAACCAAACAGCCCCTAATGTTTCAAATCCCAAAATTTATGGATATGGATTTCACTATAGAATTTGAAATCCATAAAAAATTTTGTGGATTTTGGGATCTCTAAAATTTTATTTGTTTCATCAATATTTTAGGATTTGGAATACTATAATTTGTAATATTTTGTTTGTTTCATCAATATTTTGGGATTTAGAATACTGTAATTTGTAATTTATACGTATAATTTATTTTATGATATTTATTATATATTATTATGCAATATCACATACTATATTATATAATAGTACAAAATATATATTATAATATTATATAATATTTTAATAACATATATTATTATATGAATACTATAATTTGTAATATTTTGTTTGTTTCATCAATATTTTGGGATTTAGAATACTGTAATTTGTAATTTATACGTATAATTTATTTTATGATATTTATTATATATTATTATGCAATATCACATATTATATTATATAATAGTACAAAATGTATATTATAATATTATATAATACTTTAATAACATATATTATTATATAATATATTATATTAATTATAATAGATATTTTTTTATTCATTTTGTTATAGTGTATTATATTAAACCAATATAATAATATTAAACTAATATAACAATATTATATATATATTATGATATAATATAATATAATACTATAGTTTGAAATAATATAATATATTATACTATAACATGATACCTTTTAATATATATTATTGTAATTATCATGTAATATATATATAATATAATATATATATATTATATTATA